ACGCCTCGGCCGCTGTCTCGGGCACGCAACACCGGCGGGTCCGGGCCCGCTGCTCGAGCGCGTGGGGCTTTCCTGGGCACGTGGCCACGGGCAGACATTAAATGCATGTCCACAGATGCGTACTCTCCTCTCTGCGCTCGCCGCCCCTGCTCATCTCTGCAGAGAGCCCGGTTGTTCCTGGGCCGGAGGAGCGAGATGAGAGGAGCACGTGGAAACCCAACAAGAAGCCTTTAGCAAGACAGGCCCCGCGTGCCCCATGGACCCCAAATCCGGCCAGCGCCGTCTTGCCCCCTGCCTCACTACACATGCACACGCACGTGCGCACACACCCCCATCACACCACTTCGCAGAGCCATTTGGTGCAGGGACTTTCTCTGGCAGGTCTCGATGCCTGGCGCAAACGACCAGGAGCAACGCAACGCCACAACCCTCCCTGCTCCCCAGAGGGTCCCGCTGCCACCCGCCACGCCAGGCCCTTTCCTTGCACAGCCCGGAGGCTCCTCGCAGCCGGGGACGGTCACACACCCAGCACCCGTGGAAACCCCGAGTGCTCCCGGCCCTGGGCTCTGCGTTTCGGCCTCCTGCCTGCCCATGCCAAACCCTGTCCCCGCGGGGCACAGCGCTCAGGAGGGCTGGCACTGCCAACGCAGGAGCAGCAGGGCCGGTGCGCTCAGCCCTCGCTGCAGCCCCCGGGCAGGGAGCGCAGGCGCACGCAGCCCCCGCCGCACGCGCAGGAAGGCGCAACGCCTCCGCCCAGAGCCCCTGGCCGCTGCCAGCCCAGGCTCCTGGTAGTGCCCAGCGTCGGGGTGAGGAGGCTGCAGGTTTAGGATGAAACCGAAACAAGCTCCGAAGAGCAAGGGCCGTGCGCTGTGGCCTCAGAGACGCGCTGCCGTTCCTGGAGGACGCGCGCCCTGGCCCCAGCGAGGCGGTGCCTCTCCTGGGCCGGCTGAATGTGCAGCGAGCGCCTGCAGTGCGAGAGGCCAGGGGAAACTGAGGCTGGGCACGTCTCAGCGACGGCCTCAAGACCTCAGCCGGACGTGCTCAGCGGGGCCTCAAGGAGGGAGCCCTCGGCTCCCCGCAAACCTGCCGAGTCCAGACACGACGGCAGTCGCATCGGTGCTGCCTTGGAGCACCCAGGCTGGCGGGGGCTGGCGTGGGGGCGTGCACGTGGCTTGGCTCCAGGCTCAGAGCGGACACACACAAGGGCTTTGTTGGAAGAACAGGGAGATTGTGTCTGTGCTCAGAGCTTCCTGGGGGGCGCAGGGGCAGCTAGCCCTTGGGACGAGATCTCCGTGGGCCAAACCGCATTGCCCTGCCAACACGAGGCATTCGCATTGCAGTGCACCCAGGTCAGGAGCTGCCCGATGGTGCAAGCTGGCCTGGGCCTCTCGCTCTTCCCCAGCGGGGTCTGGGCCACGGACCGTTGCGTTCTTCGGTCCAGTGGGACTGGAGACAGAAATGCTCCCACCCCGCCGGCTACGCGAGCACGGCCCCAGCGCGCGACGGGGCGGCTCCGGACACAGCCGCAGGCATCGCCCGGCTGCGGCACGAGAGGAAAGCTGCGGCAGTGGCTCCGGCAGGCCGCGGTTTCACCCTTGCTCTTCCCCTCCCACCACAGCTCACCGGGGCCTCTGCTCTTTTCAGCTCCCATGACTGAATTAGGGCATCTTCTGTGGCGGGGGGCAGGGGCACGACGGAGCCGCAGCGCAGCCGGGCGTGACGGGGAGAGCTGCCCCCCCGAGCCCAGGCAGCCACTGCGGCGCGGCTCACACCCACTCGCCGAGATCTCAACTGCAGCGGCAAGATCAGAAACCTATCAGCGCGCCGTCATCTCCTCGCTTCCTGGCGCGACACCGAGATAAACTGCTCGCTTTCTCACTGCTTCTCCAAGGCCTTTCGGCACACAGCTGCCAGCGGCAGTCACTTGCCCTGATTTCCACCCCCCCACCCACGGTTTCTGAGCTCGAGAACCGCACATCTCCCCTCGGGGACTGGGAGCTGCTTCTGCCCGAGCCACGGCGCGGCACTTCAGTCAGGCTGGCACAAGGGTCCTTTTGGCCGGCCCCGAACCCCGGCATCTCGGGGCGGGAGCAGGGCGGCTTGCTTGCCCGTTGGCAGCGCATGCTTAGGGCAGAAGCGAAGCATCGTCAATCCAGCAACCTCCGGGGTGCTTGGGGGCCCAAATGCAGCTACCGAGACCCGCAGAGGTGCCAGCAGGGACAGACGGCACATCTGCGGAGCAGAGATGTGCAACGAGCCAGGTCCTCCCAGCCGAGAGCTTGCACACAGGCCCTGGGGAGATGTAGGATGGGGACAAAGGCGGCGGAGAACAGGGTATCGGCGTGTGCCAAGCAGCAAAACCTCACTTGTTTACCAAGAGAGAAACATCAAGCAGCGCGGAGATGAAAGTACCGCAGGAGCGGCAGCCCCGTGCCTCTGCGCAGGCAGCCCACGGAGCATCTGTCGCGCACGCCCCAAGCTGCTTCTGCCCCTGCCTCCGCTTTCGGCAGCCTGGCCATCGCCCGCTCCCCGCTAGCCTGCGCCGCCAGCACCCTGCGGAAAGCCCCGCTCCGTCCTCCGGCTCGCGCTTCGGAGAGCTGACGCAGACCCGCCGTGGGGCCAACGCGTCTGCGCCGCCTCGGGGCAGCCCAGACTCTGGCTCGGAGCTTGGCGGTGTTTTCCTGGTCAGGACACGGGTTTCCACGTGCTCGGGGCAGGCAGGAGCCTGGCTGTCACCGCTTCCACGAGCCTCTACGGGAAAGGGAAAGAAAACAAACCAGCTCCTCCGAGTCCTGCCAGATGCAGCCGCGAGCTCGGCTCCCGCGTCCCCCCGCGTAGCGAATCCACCGCTCTGCTCACGGTCCCCGCTCCCGCCCAGGGGAGCCAGCAACCCTGTGACCCTCTCCGTCTCGTCACCGCAGTGCGGAGCCGTCACCCGCGCCAAGTCCCATCACTTGTCATCCGGCGATCCCAGAGCCACCGGCCCGTCCGCCTCCTGTTGCCCTGGATGTCAGGGCACTTGTGAACGGTGCAGGGGGAGACGCAGGCGAGGGGTGGGTTTGAGCCAGCACTCGGCCCCGCGTCCCTCTCGGGAACAGGCTCTCGTGTCCCCGCCGCAGACGGGCCGTTAGCAGGGCAGAGCCGGGCCGATGCATGGAGATGAACGGAGCAACCAGCTCCTCTCGCCTGCTTGAAGCGCCGGGGGTCACTAGCGTGGAGGGCGCCCCAGGGCAGCCCAGCCACGTGCTGTGGAAGGCGCGTGCCGGCAGCTGGAGGATCACGCCCGGGAGGGCCAAGACCAGGAACTCCTCTGCCGGACCGCGCGTTGCCCGGAGGCCCCCAGCACCGCTGCTCTCAGGCACTGTCCTGGGGTTATCTGCCATGCCCTCCAGCTTTTCCACGGCCACGTCTGGAAGCTGGACACCTGCACCGCTTCAAGCACGCAGCCTCCATGACCTCCGCAACACAACACGCTTCGCGCCTCCCGGGCTTTCGCGCGACGGCGGCGGAGAGGAGGGCAGGGGACGGCTGCG